CTGCTGCTGCTTCCTCCTCCTCCTGCTCTGCGTGGAACTCCCCCCCCCCACGCGAGTATCGTGGGTCCCCTTTCTTGTAAAGAAATAATCCAGTGTAGTAAAATTCTGTAAACATTTCATTTATTTTTCTTTTAAAATATTATGTAGAACATTTTATAGGCTATGAAAATGAACATAAATCAGATAAAAGCAAGAGTCCAGTAGCGCCTTAAAGACTTGCAAAACACTTGCAAAACTTTTGACAGAGAATGAGCTTTTGTGCTGTTTTTGAAGAAGTCATCAGTGACTCTCGAAAGCTCATACTCTGTCACAGATTCTGTTAGTCTTTAAGGTGCTGTTGGACTCTTGCTCTTTTCTACTGCTACAGACAGACTAACATGGCTACCCATCTCGATGAATCAAATAATTCAGGGAAAAAAGGACTTTTACCAATTTAGCAATGCTGCTGCTGTTAATGAAAACTGATTACAACCAATGGTTTTTTAAGTACCAAAGCATGGCTTCTGCTTCCCATTTTTTAGCTCATGTGAGGGTATTAACAAGTCCTATCAAGCTGTATCTGAAGAAGTGAGCAGTGACTCACAAAAGCTCATACCTTACCACAAGCTTTATTAGTTTTTAAGGTGCTACTGGACTCTTGTTCTTTCTAAGTACTATCCAAGTACTTTCCAAGTACTTTCCAAGTACTAGTGGAGTAACATGCAAACTCCTGGTATCAACCTACTTAGTCTCTGACCATCCTATGAGTGTTTGTGTAAACTCTCTGGTTCTCTCTAGTTCTAATTGCATCCCACACTCAGTACTTGTTTTTACAAAAGGAGATACTGGGACTCATGTCCAATGTTCCCTCTAAGCTGTGGAGTCCTGTGAGCAAAAATTCTACTTTGTGAGCTTCTGGCATTAAAGTTGTGAGCAATTGATTTGGCTACTGCCTAAATCAGTTTGCTCTGGAGCCATCCTTCCTGAGTGAAGACAAAAATGTTTGAGCCGAAGGCTAAAAAACTGTGAGCTAGCTCACACTAACTCAGCTTAGAGGGAACACTGCTCATGTCTGTTTGCAGCAAGGTTTTCTGCTTTGGAAGCACTATGGCAAGGGACACTTAAGTCAGTTTTTAATGTTTTCTAGGCTTCAGCCCATTTGTACTGAAAGATGGTGGCTGAAGTCTGGAAACTCCTGGCACAAATTTAGATGGCACACAAACTGTAAGCAGCTCAGTTTATGCAATAGTTGTGACTTAGCTACTGTTCTACAGAAAGTTACCAAAAAAGCCTATGTAATCTCTACTGCGTATTTTGTCTTATACAGTAAAATATGACCTTGTATTTACATTGATAACAGAAAATGCCATTTGAATGTCCCCTCTAAATGATAGTTGTGTGTTTGCTTGGTTGATTTTTTTCAGTGCCAATTATTCCCAGTTACTTGTATGGCATCGAACACCAGAAAAATGTAACAGAAGTCCAAACCATTGGGCCAGAGACAGTTCCATTGAAGTTGGACAGTTTTCAAAGTATCTTCTCCTATTATGACAACTCTACAATGGTTACCAGAAATCATTCTGAAGGTACACAGCCGGGAGATTTTTATCATGCTCAGACACAGCAAATGGCAATAAATATGACTAAGACATCATCTGACTGCCCCAAGGAAGACAAAGACCTGCTGAATGAAAATGTTCAAGTTGGCTTGTTGTTTGCCTCCAAAGCGACAGTGCAGCTCATCACTAACCCTTTCATAGGGCCAATGACAAATAGGTATGCTTCTTCTGTCACACAGAAAGGTAGTATTTAATGCTGATATGTCATTTAATATATCTGTATTTCAAATCAGAGATTTGTCTTCTGCCTCTAATTATTCCCTTTGCATATATGTTCCCTGTGGACGTTGTAGATAGCTTTCACTGTACTATATATTTGAGTTGAACTAGGGTTACCTGCTGTCCCCTTTTTATGGTGTCTGTCCTCTTTTGGGCTCTTTTTAAAATACTGATGAAAATGTCCTCTTTTTGGGTTGGAAGGTTACTTAGGAATATTCCTAGTTAGTAGCAATTATCATAGCTTAAATAGTAGAGGTATTTAAAATGAGATTTGTCATAGCGATAACTTGTTTGAAGTCATCAGTCAGGAAGTCATCAGTCCTCTCTTTTGCTTTTCAAAATATGGTAACCATAGTTGAACATCATGTGCTATTTTCTAAATAACAGGGGCTTCTAAGAAGTAGCTTTCCTTTTTAAGTATTCAGTTTGATTCGTCCTCTGCATGAATTACATCTATTTGTGGAAAGTATGACTACCTTTTGGGAACTGAAAATATAAATAGTAGAAGTTGTGAACCAGAAATGAAATATATAAAAATAAAACACTAGTGAAATGTATAAATTAATGTGAATACAAAATATATAATCATAGGATTGCAGAGTCTCTGCATGTGACATCAAACACTAGGGGTGCCTGCCTTTCTCTCCTATATTCAGACAAGCCTGAGTCTTGCTATGAAACTTTTTAAATGGATAATTTACTAATTAAATGCTGGTAGGATATGTTAATAAGAGACCTGCACGATGGTGGTCACTTAATCTCTTTGGCCAAGAAAGACTCCCAGATAGCGTTGGCAGTATTGACTTTGGGTTAGAGGATGGAATTTGCTTCATGAGCTGACTAAAACAGGAGCAGAAATGTCTGTGGGCAGTATATGGGTGATATGTCCATCATAGGCATAGTTCTCTACTTTTCTTTCATATTGGGTGTCTGATTTGACTGATCTGTGAAAATGCAATTGACTTCATTTGGAAAAACTCCATCAAAACAGGCAGGACAACCCTATGATATTGCAACATGCATTTGAATTTGTCGAACAGGAGTTTTGATCAAGCGAGGAACAATACAGTATACTTTTGGTACTTGGGAGAGTGGGGAGATGGAACATGTTCAGAAATTATTGAGCTTTCTCACTAGCATGTACTTCCCCCAGGGTTGCCAACTCCTGATTGGGAAATTCCTGGAGATTTGGGATGGAGTCCATGGAGGGTGAATTTGGGGAGGAAATAACCTCAGCAGGGTGTAATGACATAGAACCTACTATCCAAAGTGGTCAATTTCTCTGTCATCTGAGCAGTTGTAATTCTAGGAGATCTCCAGGTCCTACCTGGCAACCCTAGCTGAGACATGTTGTCACTGTGGCCCCCAACCACTAGAGTTTATTTCCTGATGAATGTGCATCTGGACTAAAGGATCTGGAAAGACTGATGTCTGTGATGTGCTCTTGAGCTATTTGTCAAGTTTTTACCAACAAATCCTACTTGCATGCTCATAGTTCTATAGAGGTGGGGTAGAACATTGGAGACCAGTGTCACACATCTTAATAAGCTGTTTACTATTGCTTGGATTTGTATAGTAGTACTGCTTTGCATGGTGGTGGAAAGTGTCGTCACGTCACAGTTGACTGATGGTGACCTTGTAGGGTTTTCAAGCCAAGAGACGTTCAGAGGTGGTTTGCCATTGCCTGCCTCTGTGTCACAATGACCCTGCTATTCTTTGCAAGTCTCCTATCTGGAGACTGGCCAGGGCTGACCATGCTTAGCTTCTTAAATCTGAGGTGATCAGGGTAGCCTGGGCTATTCAGGTTACAGCAGAGCCTTGCATAGAGATGTAAAATTTCTAGTAATTTTCAAACATAGAGGAAAAGGAAATTTTATAAAAAATTGAAATATATGCAATACTTAACTTTTCCTATCAAACCTAAACTTGTTTTACTGATTGAACACCTATTTGGAACATTTATGGAATTTAAAAGTACATGTATTATCCTTTTGTATGAGAAAATTAGCACATATACTCAGTACTTGAGAAAGAGTTGCAAACTGCTGCACCCTGTGCATCTTTAATTTTTGCTGTCTGAGAGGTAAGAAAAATAAAAGTTGAAGATGAAAAATTCTGTAGTAAACAAAAGAGTGTATTATCTAGACAGAAACTCTCTTATAGAGTCATAATAGGTAGGTCTGCCAGCTTGTTCCGATATTATCTTTATGTAAACAATGAACTGTTAAATGACATGTTATTATTATTAACCTATAGCATATTAATCGTTGTCAAAATTATATTTTAAAAAAAATCTTATTGTATAAGAGTTTTTTTTCTAGTGCTACCCTGAATTTTCCAAGTTTTCTATTGAAAAAATTTACAAAGTCCTTTTCATGCTGTACATTTGGAATGAGTGACATGCTTTGTAAGGTATGGTTTTTCTCACTTGAAAAGAGAAAAAAAAATCATAGGTTTTTTTCCCAGTGGTCCTCAAAATTTTGCTGTTTTTCCATAGGCAAATGGAAAAAGTACTCAGACTTTTTAATGCTATACATTTTGAGTATGAAAACCTTTGCCATATGAAGCATTTTACTCTTTCTAAAAGGGAAAATATCTCCCAGGAACTCCATCCCTCATTGTTCCCTTGGAAAAAGGGGGGAAAATGGAGGAAACCCCCCCCATTTCCCCCTAATGTCTCAATTTTTGCCCCTGGGTCAGGGCCCTCGCATCTTTAGTTTTGCCCTGATTGGCTGCTGCATCAGAATCCTACCCTCCAGCATGACTAATGGAAAGAAGGAAAGGGCAATATACTAGGATTTTCCATTGACTGCAGTGGGATTGCTTTTTCTTCATTAGTTTGATTTTTATTTAATTTTTTTATCCCACCGATTCTCTATTCTAAACTCTGCTGCACAGCCTTATCCTCTGTATGCAGATGGAGTGCTGGTGGTAAGTCTTACTGCAAAGACCTGTTACCAGCATAAATTTACTACAGTGGCATTAATTTGTTATGATGGGATACAGGTTTGCTCTGAAAGCACAGTGGAATTTAGTGATCCCATGTTGCCTAGCAGGCATAACCCAGTGATAGGGTCACTGTAAAAGGTCTGCTATGAAGTACATTACCTTAATTAGTATAAGTCAGTGTAATTTACTTTTACTGGGGTTAACAAGTGCCATCGACCTCAGGAGCCCTATAGGTGTCTATATGGGAAGAAATTCTGGATCTACAACTTCTTTAAATGTCAATATATAAAAAGATGAAAAGGTTAGTTTGAGTGGAGCAGTACTTAAAGTTGATCTGTATGAAGTTAATATGTTTGTAAAGCCATTAAAGCACTCAGATGTGTTATATAGATACTGTGGAGACCTGTGATACTTGGGGGGGGGGATCCCTTCCCCATCACTGGTGATTCCCCCAGCTCGGAGTCCTGGTGTAGCTCTGGAGCCCAGCATCCTTCTCCACTGCTGCTGGGCCTGGCTACTGAGCATCCTCCGCTGCTGTGAGCTGCAGGGTGGGGTGGGGAATCTCAGCCCCCCCCCCCAGTGCCAACTCTAGTGTGGCTCTTGAGTCTGGCATCCTCCCCTGGAATTGGGCCCAGCATGGCTCCTGGGCTACTGCACCTGTGCTACCAGGCCCAGTATGGTCCCAAGCAACCAAGCTGCTGATGCTGGGTGCAGCAAGGCTTCCAGCCTGCTGCACCACTGCTGGGGTCAGCTTGGCTCCCAGCCTGTTGTGCTGCCACTGCCAGGTACAGCATGGCTCCTGAACTGCCATGCTGCTACTAGGCACACTGTGGCTCCCAGCCTGCTGCACCACTGCTGGGCTCAGAGCAGCTCCTAGAGTGCCATGTCTCCACAGTTGGATCCAGCGTGGCTCCCAACCTGCCACACCTCTGGAGATAGGTGTGTTCTCTGCACGTGTACAGAGAACACCTTTTATTTGGTTTTTAAAAAAATCTCACTGGTTTTCCCTAAAAAGTCAGATTTTCCTGCAAACCTAGGGGTCCCCCAAGTTTGTAGAAAAGTGTGTTTAGCGTCCGTGTGGCCTTGATACACGGACATAGATATCTGCAGATAGCGGCCACATGTGGCTAATAGTATATGAATATTAGTATCAGTTCTAGTATTCAGTGTCAATGGTATATACATAATATTTAAACAGTAGATTTTATATTATACTAACAGCTTGGTTCTGAAAACATGGAGGAGTGTTGGCCCATTATGCTGTGTGCACATACATGTTTGTTCATATCTCTCCTATATAATAATCCTGTTTTGGGGTGGCAAGATTCCATGCACTCCCTCAGTCATTGGCCAGTCAGCCGCCACTCAAGGGTACTCGCGTGCCATTGCTGGGTCTGCTCCTCTTCCCTGCCCACTCCCCCTTCAGCCACTGTGCCCTGTCAGAATTATTGGCAAACTGCTTTCTTTCTTGACGAAGACGCTTTTCCTGTGTGGGACTAACTTTCCCCTCTGTGGCTGTTGGTAGGTGTCACAAAATGGCAGTTACCTGTGTTTGTAAAATGGCTGTGGTTATTTGTTTAAAATGTTCCCCCATAAGGTTTAATTGAGCTGTAGTTCCAGAGAAGGGCCTGCAGGGGTATCACTCACTGGGTTGAATTGGACTTCCTCATCTGCTGGCCTACAGTTCCCAGCTGCCCGAAGCCCCAAAAGTGCAGGAAAACAGGGACTGTCCCAAGGCAGTCTTCATCCCTGGGAGCAGCATAAATTCAACCACTCCACAGTCAGCTGGACTGGGGAATGAATGGAAGTTTCCCTGATCTCTTGGGCAAGAGAGAGAGGCTGAACTACAGGTGAGCCCACAACCTCCAGAGATAGAGAGGATTGCATTTAACCCCTGTTGATTTATGCCCTGTTGGCTTGTGGTATGTGCTTACTCCTACAGTGTTTGTGTGCTCCATAACTGTGTAAATAGTTAATTTGGGCTAATAA